AAAAAATTTAAATTTTTTAATCATGGTATTTTTAACGTTATATTTTTTTAGAATAAAGATATTTTTAGTGTTTAGAGCCACAATTGGTCTAATTAATAAGATTTAAATCACATGAGGTTAAATGATAAGATATATCCCTTATATCAAAAATACAAAATTGATATTTATTTTGTAACATAGAAAAAAGTTAATTTTTTTAAATGTTTTTTCAAAAAAAACAAAAAAAAAAATTGGACAAAGTATAATAAAGGTGTACGAAACAACTCTCTAGGGTCCACAGAACCAAATGACATATAAGAACAAACTTTTTTCAGTTATAAACTAATCTGATGAGGAGTCAGATGAGCCTTGACTCCCATCGAAGAAGGTAGGCCACCATCGCAACTCAATGGGCCAATTAATGTACCAAGAATTCTTAAACGGTATCTGATGATAACTTTGCAATCTGTGAGTATGAGAGCAATGGTTGGTACTCGATCACCTCAAAGCCCATGGTTAAGTACCTCACAAATGGTTCACTATACTACATGGAAAGGATGCATAGCAAGTATACCTTTATTTTATGAAGATTTTGTAACTATCTTCCCATTTTAGTCTTCGTAACTTCCAATTCGGGATATAAATAAAATATGTAACCCCTAGACAAGTGCATGTAGCTCCCTTAAAAAAAAAAAAAAAAAAAAAAAAAAAATTAAAATTAAAATATAGATTTATTAAATTCACGAGTTAAAAAAATATCCTAAAATATGTGATTATAATTTGTAACACTCTTAAATTGAACTCACAATTTTATGTTATTTTTTTCTTAATTTTGAATATATGTAGTAAAATAATAATAATTTGAATTAACAACAACTTAATATTAAAAGTCATTTTTACATCTTCAATGAAATTTTCGTCTTTTGATTTTATGAAATAAGGATATAATTTACAATTTTAATGACTAAAATTCTTTTATCTTTATCTTCAAAATAAAAATTCTATGTAAATTTCTTTTATTAAATTCTTTTTTTATCTTTATTAATAAAATACACTTTCAAGAAAAAAAATTTCTTTTATTTTTATGTAAAATTTTCTCCTGTGAATAAAAGTAAATGGTTTATTACCATTTCTTCAAAGAAAAAAATTAGAGAATTAAGTGAGAGAGAAAGAAAAAGCAACTTGGAAATTTTAAAGGATGCTCAAAGAGAGAAATCAGAAAGTACAAATTTATATATATATAGGGTTAGGATCATTTTACACCATTTATATCTAAAGGCTCAAATTTTTTAGAAATGTGAGCCATTGGATACAGGTGGATCAATGGTCAAAATTAAGTGTAAGACTTCTAACTCTTATCCTGCCCTATATATATATATATATATATATATATATATATATATATATCAAAATGTAGAAAAATTACGAATAAGAAAGTTTTATCAACAGCGAAAAAGATGAAAGTGAATATTAATATGGAGATAACTATTTTTAAAAATACAAACCTCATAATAGTGTTATATTCGTTATTATTTATATTATTCCCTTACCGGTCCCAGTGGAATATTGCACTCGATTTCCTTTATGATATTTCTGCAATATATATCTATGTAAATTATTATTCTATAATTTATAAATTCTGCAAAAATTTATATATACATATTTGAATTTATATTTCGGCAAATTTAAATATTTTAATTTATAATTACCATATATGTGTATAATAACATATATGTGAATAGTATTATATTTGTGATAAATATCACATATTATATATTTAATTGTTGATTTATATTTATGCATGATTTTATATTTATATGTTAAGATAATTTTTATCTTAAAAAATTCAATGTGGTAAAATTGTGAATGATAAATGTTATACGATAAAAAAAATTGTATACTTTAAATTTTTTCAAGACTTTCAGTAGTGATTTAAATTTTTATTACTTCCATTATAATGTCAAATTTGAAAAATAATATGTTATGAATTATATTTATCTAATAAAGATAATTGGATTTTCTTGAAGATATTCACATGTATTGTATACTTAAAAAGTTTGTAAGAACCAAATGGTAGTAGCTCAGTTGGCGCATAGGAGCTAAGTAAGTGGAGATGAGAGCATGTGTTCGAATCTCTTCAGTACCACCTTTGGGAGAGGTTTAAAGCCTTAATTCTGGACTCGCCCCGAATCAGATTAGTTGCGAAGCAATGAACCGATTGGAATATTTCAAAAAAAAAAAAAAGTTTGTAAGATTCCTCGTGACCGATAATTCAAATATGTGAATAGCCTAGAAATTGAGTTTCTTAGATTAAGAAATTCATTTCCTTATATAAGAAAAGGCAAAGGGACACCGTTACAAGGTATAAAACTCTCATGCATAGAAAAGTTCATACTTATGAAATACTTTCTAAAAAATATATAGTTATATATATCGATGGTAGACTATGGGAAAACTTCAAAAAAAAAATCCAACAAATTTTCTCAAAATCACTTATCCTCCCTAACATTTTTAATCATTTGCCCTCCTACTTAAATTTTTGTTATCACTATTTACCAAAAAAAAAAAAAAATTGTTATCAGTTACTCTTCTAATTTGATTTTTCATCCAAAATTTTGTTAACAGAGTTAAAATTTTTAAAAAATATCAAAACTATCCTTAATAAAAAAAAAAAAGAAAAACAAAAAAACGTAACGGCTCTTACGCATCTATCTGCACATAAAACTTGAGAACAAGATATTGCTGATGAATCTATAAAAAGTGCTGGACATGTTGAATCTTTTAGAGCTCCAAGTTCATATAAGAATCACTGCTGCACCAATGTGTAAGATGATTGCTCTTTGCAATATGATGCTCATTGTTGCATGCTTTTTGGCCCCGTATGCTTGCCCACACACAGTTTGCACCGCGCTTGCCATCCCCAGCTGTTAAAAGAAAGGGTTTTATATTTGTTACGTTGTTTAATGTTTAACATAATTTTATTTTCCTACACACACAACAAAAAGGAGAGAGAAAGTGAAATGATGAAAGAGAGAGAAAAATTTGTGAACCACACCTCCTCTTTGTTGTGTGTAGGAAAGTTGAGTTATGTTATGTAATATAACAAACATAACACCCTAAAGAAAAATGCAATCATCACAAATATATATAACCCCTCTCCCTTTTTTTATTCTTATTCTATTTTTATATTATAGTTTATTTCATATTTATTTCTCTTTTTTTTTTTAGATATGTATATTTTTCATATTTTTTTTGAAGCAATTCCATTTTTTCTATTTTACAAACTATCCAAATAGAATAGAAAATATATTCATACAACATCGAGTTAATTTTAATTTTGTTATACTTCTTTACTTTATAATATATATATAGAGGCAGGATCCTTTGACATCGGTGTTAAAGGAAAAGTTTGACATCTCATCTGAGAGCCGTTGGATTAAAAAAAATCAATGGTGTCACATGCTTACAAATCAGAATCGTTGATTTTTTTAATTTAACGGCTCTCAGATGAGGTGTCAAACTTTTATTTTGACACCGATGTCAAAGGATCCTGTCTCATATATATATATATATATATATATATATATATATATATATATATATATATATATGAATATACCAAATTATAGTTAAGTGCATATTAAAAATAAAATTGCCCTCAATACCGCACTGCACATTAGTATTATCACTTCTTGAAAGCTGTGCGAGAAAGTTAATTTTTTTTTTTTGGATATTAGAAAGTTAATTTTTAAAACTAATGTTGAAATGTTATTTGGTGTAATTAAATCACTAAAGCCAAAAATGAGAAGATAGAGAGGCCAACCATGATTCCGTAAGCTAGACCCTGAATTCCAACACTTGCAACGGATGCCCCAGCAAGCTCTAGAGACCCCAAATGCCCAGTAAACATCGAGGTGACAAAGCTAAGCATATAATTAAAACTGGACACATTAATAGAAGCACCAGAAAGGAGCCAGAGGAGCCTTGACTCCCACTGAACAAGCTTAGGCCACCATCGCAACTCAATAGGACTATGTTCCAAGAATTCTTCAATAGTATCTGATGACAAATTTGAAATATGTGAGTGTGAGAGCAATGGTTGGTCATCCTCAGAGCCCATAGTTGAGTGCCTCACAAGTTACAACTTGTTCACTGCATGGGAAGGAGGCATTGCAAGTAGACTCTTTATAAGTGAGGTGCGGAATATTAGGAACACCAAATTATTTAGTAGCTACCTTTCCTTTCAACTGTTGCTACCCGACAGTTTTATTAATGTGCAAATGTGCCACTAGATATCTAGCCTCAATAATGAATGTGGAACATTATGATGCGATTTCCTTAGTTGGGACCATTAAGGGTCCACCGTAAAAGCCACCCTATTATATATACACAGAATGTGACCTATTAGCAAGTGGGGATGGATGTTTTTTTTTTCTTCTTTCTATGCTCTTTTCTTTTCTTTTTCATTTTATAGGAGAAATTACATTGTCATTAAAACGAGAAAAACTTTAATGGTCCGGTAAAAAGATAAAAAAAATTACCTTTTTTAACAAAAAGGACCACTAAATTTTCTCCATTAAAACCGGGTACGTGAAGTCCAAAGCTCTGACTTGATGATGGAGAATACATGTAATATAATTATTAAGTCATTGTTATATTTTTAACATAATATTTTATTTTATTTTGAAAATATTTCATCGGTTCATCGCTTCGCGATTAGTCCGATTCGGGACGGGTCCAGGATTAAGGCTTTAAACCCCTCCCAAAGGTGGTATTGGGGAGGTTCGAACACATGCCCTCACCCCCACCTGCTCAGCTCCCATGCACCAACTGAGCTACCACCATTTGGTTATTTTTAATATAATATTTGTTAGCACATCAAATTGCTCAAGTGTAAGTCATAGGAGAGAGTCTATCCATACGTAGACATTTTTTTTAGGGTATCGCATTTAAGTTCGAAAATATAAATATTCATAGATCAAACAAGTCTGACAATAAATATAATAACAAGAATTGTCAAGATTAAAGCCCAAGAAGGAAAAAAAATTATTTACAAACTTCAGAAGTACAACACCAGAACAAGCAAAATTGAAGGCTCTCAACCTGGTTGAATCAACGCCATCTAATTTCTGGAAATCGGTCGATCTACAAATTTTTTCTAAGAGCGCTGTCAATGAATCATTGGCTCAGGAATCTTGTTTTAACTAATGTCAAAGTACTGAAATTTTTTACTTGCTACATACATCAGTGCGTTTTAAAACAGCAGATAGCAATTTCTGTTGATCTGTACCCAGCCCAGAGAACCATCTCCTCAAAGTTTCAGCATTGTCAGAAACAGATTTAGAATACGCTGGAAGACTGATGTTAGTATGAAAAAGGGTTTCAGGATCAATATGAAGAAGGCCAAACAGAGAAGTGGCAGTAGCAATTTGAAGAGAAAGTCCTGCTTTCATGGAAGAAGTGCGGCATAAATAAGCAAACAAATTACATCTCAATTTCTCAACTCCTCGATCTTCATATCCACCAACATTTACTCCAATCCTGAAATTTATAACATTCACACATTGTTAGAACATGAACGAAAATATGTGAAAGCATCCTTCATTGTTAAATCAAACGAGATCAAATAATATTTTAATGTGGACATCTGCCCGTGGCATGTTACAGATATGAGATCACACAAGACAGATGTAAAGGTTAACAAGAAAAAAGAATCTCCTGAGGATAGATGCTACCAAACATTCAGAATAGGTTGATGTAAATCTAACTCAAGCTCAATTAATAGAACAGGACTACACATTGCCCCACTAAAAAAAACGCTGGTCATATTCTAAAAGATACAAAGGTACTATCAATGGAATTTCACAGGACAAGAAAATTATTGCATCATCATAGAATTGACTCTCAATCCTCATCATTGAGGGAGATAAATCAAATTAGAAGAGTGCTTATTAAATTATTATGAGATGGGAGGTGCCCTGATTATTGAATTTTTGTATGACTGGTTAAGATTCAAACACCAAGTCATGTGACTTGACTAAATGGTCATCTGAGCTGTAAGTGATTTTTAATCTTGAGTACAGATGTTCCAATGATCAAGTACCGCTCCTCTCACTCTCACTCTCACGATAAATATACCTCCTGCTTCATATATCCTCTATTCATAAATGCATATGTATCATGTATGTACAAAAGTATGCATGCATGATTAGTCACAACACTATCATTATCAAAGCGGCAATGATCAATTTACCTCCCAAGTTGACCAAGAATAACAATGATAGGAATAGCAAAGTTCTCCTCCATACACGTGTCAAGCATTTTCAACAGCCGAGGAACAAGTTTGATATCAGTCCAGCACCAGCTCTGCATTGGAAAAGGAAACCGAGCAATCAGGTTTGAGTATTATGCCATAAACTAAATGAAGTGATAAGTTATTCCACAAGTATGACAACAGTATAATTTTCATCCATATAAATACTTAAGCCTTGGCAACAAGTCACTTATTTCAGAAAATGATAGCGAATACTATGAGTGTCATCACTTTCGTGGAGAACTAGAATCACGCTCAATTTCATATTGTAGAATTTTATTACTTTCATTATAACATCAATTCTTAAAAAAAAGCAACCATCACTTCTTTTGGAGGGTGGATAATCTTTTAAAATTAGAGCTTGAGAAAAAAAAGAATTTATAAATTAAACAGGATCAGTATTATTTTGAAATGATGAGAATAATACCATTTTGCTTGCTACCAGTTCCAACAATGACAGGATATCACTAAGGTAACAAAAGGTGACGTTCTTAAGGGCATCTGGTTGAGCAGCAGAAATCAAGAACTTTTTCAAACAAAAGGGCGCATCATACTTCTTGTTAATGACACATTGAACCGCTTCCTGATTGGACCAATGTCCAGCATTATCATTGTCTGAAATTAATCTAGAATCTGACAAATCAACTCGTTTTACCCCTTGAAGCCAACAGTTTTTTATCTCTTCTAAGAGCAAGCAAGCAACTACATCAATGGATTCAGAACCTTCCGAAAATGGGCATTTAGTAGTTGTACAAAATTCATTATGCAGCTGATTTATTGAAGGAAAACAAGCAGTAGCAACAGATTGGCTCCCACCCTCAAGAAACATAACTAGAGACTTCAAAACCGTCACCATTAAACCAAAATTATGCATGTCGAAAAACTTCTCTCCACCCATATAAGCAAAAATATGAAGCATAGTCAACACCATTAAAGAATCCCATTTGCACAATCTAAGAATATCATATGAAGCCTCACGCATAAACCCCACATGATCAGTTGCAGCACATAATGATGCTAATATAATACTTCCTGCCACCAATTGTTCACTTGAAGCTACACCAGAAGATACTTTATCAACATAATCCAGAAAATCATTGGTTCTCAAATCACAATCTGACAAAGTCTCAGCAGGTAAAATATTGTTTGCTATAACTTTTCCTTCTATAAGAAAATCTCCAATGAGGCCAAGCAGTTCATGGAAAGAATAATTTTCTAAAAACAGGATTCTTGTCTCTGCATCGGACATAACTGGGGAAAAAGATGTGAAAATTTGTTAAATCCAAGTTTTATGAAGTACACATAACATTATATTAAAATACCAGATTAAAAACATTAATGTTCAGAAAATGGAAGTTGCTTATGAAACAGAGCAAACCTGTGCAAATATGTTCAGAATAAGAATTCAAGCAGTGCAATAAATTCCCATCCCAAAGTTTTCCAAATATCATTGTTGTAGTCACAGTAAAGTTGAACAGCAGCAGTGTTAACAAAACTGAAACCTTCTCCCTGAAAGAAATTAAGAGAAACAAAATAATGTTAATATTATCACCATCATTTGTCAACAGTTTAATATTATCATGAGCTGATTTGCTTGATACAGCAAGAAAAACAGAGTATTAAAACAGAAACTAGAAAGAGTGTTCAACAGCATGGACTCTATAGTATCACAAATAGCATGAGGCACTTACTTCTTTAAGAGCTTTTCTTCCATTTTAAGTGCGGTTAGAATGTTACTAACCGCCCAGCCTGTTTCAGTAGCCAAATTGCACCTAGCTATACAATTTTTTGTAGCAATAAGTATCCTAGATATAATACTTTTGTCCTCAGTATTTGAAAAGACAATAGACAATTTAGGAACTTGATTGCGTAAAGATCCAATTCCATCCTCCACCACAAAAGCAGTCCTAGAATTTTCTGGAGTGTGCATATGTGGCAATTTCACAATCTCAGTTTTTCTAGTCAGTGTAGGCTTTTTCTGTGAATTACAAGAATCGCCACAAACATCAATTTTTTGTTCATTGGAGTTGATTTCAACATTAATTACATCAAAGAGAGGTGAAGGAAACAAGTCGGTTCTTGAACTCAACATGTCTTCTTGGAGTGCTTCCTCTAGAAAGGGATTCATCAAATTATCCGCATCAACTATTTCATGAAATTCAATTTCAGGAAGGGATGGAGACAAGGGAAAATCCATTGCTCTTCTATAGTATTTCTCATCGGCAGCATTTTCTAATTCTAACAACTTCATATAACTTCCATCAGCCACTTTATCAAAACTAAACATTGAATCAAAATTATTTGCAGCATCACACATCCTCTCCCCACATGCTTGAGTGGTTTCTAAAGTATATGAGGGAGGGAAGGAAGTGTGTCTACAGACATTTGCATCATCATAGACCTCAGCTTTAGCCTCTACTCTTCCTTTTTTCTCATCCCTGTTAATCTGAGGTATCATGTCCATTTTTTCCCTATGAGATTTCTTTCTCTTTTTGTGGGCCCTCTTATTCTTTTCCTGTGAATTGTTCAGATTATGAAGCATCTCTCTTCCTCCTTCTAAGCATTTATCAACTTTTTTAGACAACAAACCATGCAAATCAGAGAGATTCTCAGAAGACAAATTTGCAATATCTTCAAGTGTATTATGCATTTTTTCCCTCTTCCTATGATGCACAGTAACAGATCTGTCAGATGGGTAGCACAAGCTTTGTCCTGCATCAAAGATCTCCTGAGTTAATTTTGCTGATGCAGTAGTAACTGGGAATGCGGATATTTCCTGTGAGCCCATTAACTGTCCATCAGAAAAAGATTCTGTACTGGAATTTACTGCAGAACTCTGTAACTTTGTTCTGTTGGATCCTCTAACAAGAGGGTTCAATTTAGAATCAATACCTGTGATTGTTTCAGAGTAATTTCCCCCAGATAGAGCAAGAAGTGGGGTACACTGCATGTTTTTCCTCAACTGATCACATGCATCCATTGTTCTGCAGCCAGGTTCCAGAAACTCATTTTCAATTTGGCTATGCATCTGAGACAAATTTAAATTGCAGGATTGTCTCATGACATTTGAATTCTGCATGTATGGTATAATCTCAAACTGCAAAAATCATCCAGCAAAGGTAAAAATGGTTAAGGCATGCATATATAAGAGTAAGATACAAATAAAATCAGAACTAACAAAAATGAAAAAAAAGACAGTCTAGTGCTATAAAGCTCCAGCCATGTGCAGGGTCTAAGGAAGGGTAAGACCCATTGTGTGGGTCTATAGGAGTCAATCTTACCTTTCATTAGCAAAAGGCGATTAACATGCATCGAACTTGTGAATCTATGAACTCCGGCTCACATGGCAACAACACCAACCGATGTGTCAAGGCTCCCCTTCTAACTAACAAAAACCAAATTTATTACCATGTCCTCTCTTCCACAAGTGGGCAAGCCTTGAAGTAGCAATAAGGTTGCTCCTTGTGACTGGAAGACCACTGGTTCGAATTTGGGAAATAGCCTCTTTGGGCTGAGTACAATCAACTCTCACCCCTACCCTTGCAAATAAGGAAGCCTTGAGCCCTTTATCCTCTCTTCCAAAAAAAATATCCAGATTCAGTGGATCAACACAAGGATTATTATTATAAAACAAAAAAGTATCTATCCCTACTCAACCCAATTAATTATTTATTGCTTTCAAAAGACCCTAAATATTCTCGTTTCCCAAGGTTACATAACTAGTTAGTGCTAACTCATAAATGATTTTCAACCCAAAATTCCAATAATTTAGGTGAGAACCAACTTTTAAGTTCATAACCACTAATCCATAACACCAAGGTAGTCAAAATTGAGATTTTAGCTATGATAGGGGGAGGTAAACACATAAATCGTGGGATCCAAACACAGATAGTAAGATCCAACCCAGGATACAAAATTATATCAAACATATATATATGCATATAAACCAAACCCAGCCGAACCAGCAGCACCCATCCAGCAGCAACCACCAGTACCACGAAGTGAGATTTAGGGCTTCAGGCGTTCAACACCACAAACGGTAGCAGAAACAATACAGGTAGCACCATAGAAAACGTTTTCTTCAAATTCAGCTAGGACATCTGTGAATGGGTTAGAGTTTTGTCTGTTTCTGGGTTTTTTGGAACAAACTGAAACAAACAGCACAGAGGGATTGTCAAATCCCACCGATCCTACAAACCTGCACGCCAATTCCACACAATCACCAGATCATGTTCAAAAGTGTACTAGGGCTCATTGGTAGGTGGGAAACTCAAAGGATCATGTGACCCTACGAGTAAACTCTCGATTTTAGCTACCTTGCATAACTTAGATAACTAAATGAGATCATTGGGTTCAAAAGATAGGACCATGATGCCTTAATTCAAGTATAGAATTCACATCAACAGCTCTTTTGTGGGTCTGTGTGTGCATGCGCGAGTTTTAAACAAGCAGAGAAGATACAAAATGGCAAAAAATAAAACATTATATATAACTACAAACAATTCATCAGTGAAACTAACCTTTGTTTGGTCATGTATACTTCCATCAAAAGGTGAAAAAGATGCATCCAGTATATCAAGGCGATGTAGAAGTTGAATGAAATCAATCTTTAGACGGCCTAATTGATGGTGTAAAATGCTGTAACGGCTTGCTTCTGACTTATATTTTTGCCTGGCATGCTTTGCTCGTAGCTTTTCAAGCTTTAGTTGGTTTTTCAAAAGCTTCACTTTAGTACTTTCAGCTTTCAAACTAATATCAGCAGCCACTTCAATGGGCTTCCTAAGGGATGAGAGTTCATGCATGTTCTGCTTCAAATCCTCGATTGTCCTCTTATCCTCTTCTAATTGTTGAGACATCTGATCAGCACGGTGTTTCTCTTCCATGAACTTGTTCCAGTTATCTTCAGCAAGAGCCTTCTGCTTCTCTAATTTAACCATCTCTGCATCTGCACGCCTTTTTTCCATAGTGGCCTTGTTTTTTTCAACCTCTAACCTTTCTTTCGCTTTTGCCATCCCGGTCTCAGCATTTCTTTTTTCTGCTAATATCTTGCGCTTTTCAGCTTCAAACCTTTTGGTTGCCTCTTCAAACGTAGACATCTCAGACACCAACTTCATTTTTGCTTCATTAACTTGTTTCTCCAATCGACCAATCTGAATCCTATATTCCTCAGCCTTTCCAGCTTCAATTCTGGCAATCTGCATCTCCTTTTCAGCAGTCTTATTCTTCTCTGCTTCTAGTAACTTGAAAGCTTCAGCAGCTTTCTTCCCCTCATAATCAGCCCTTCTCTTCTCTGTCTCCAGAAGCTCCTTCAATCTACCAATTTCTTTTTCCCTATCAGCATGAAAACCCAGTACGTTCTTGTTCTTGTTCTCGTTCTCATTTCCATCCAGAGCATCGCTGCCACATCCCTGCTGAATTTTAGGTGTAGTAATCTCAGACTTGATGCTACAGCGGTCATTCTCCCTAGCATTACATTCTTTCAGTGTTTCATCTGTTTCTGTTTTGCCCCCACCTGCTGCATAGATTACATTACAGCATAGGTATAAAAGATAACTCAGTCAGGTTACAAGCATGTTCATTCGATCTATGTCGCTTAACCAACCCACTTGCATTTGCATACTCTGAACTAAACCAAATATTCATATTCATATTCATACCCAAAAGCTTAATATGACAAAAATTAAATAATAAAAAATAGAAAGTCATTTACCTTTGTTGTTGTGGGACTGAATTTCGTTAATCTTGAGCTCAAGAACCTTGACAGCTTGGCGCAGAGCTTTCCGCGACTCTTGCACCTTCGTGTATTTTTTCTTCCACTGCGTATGAAAGAAATGGTAAATAAACAAATAACTGAATTGAACTGAAAAATGAATAAAAGCGAAAGAAAGAAAAGGGTACGTGGTCACAGCAAGCATTTATAGAGTCGGAATTCAAATTCTGATCCTTATCCGCTGACAATGCCATGAACACGATGAATGAGTAGCAAATTCACAAACAAGAGAGAAGAGAGGTTGGTGACGGTGATGGAGATGGAGATTGTGGCGGTGCATTAAACCCTGAACCTCCACTTACTTCAATTCAATGTTGAATCGGAAGCCACATATGAGGATCAAGGGCTTTGGTTTCTAAATCAGGGTTTTAAGATTCAGACTTTACAATTTTATATTTTCATTTGAATTCTTAAAAACATAATTTGCCATAATTTTCAGTTAATGTAAAATATACAGTTAATTTGTTTTTATCGTGATGATAACAGAAAAGAATTTGCAAATTCGGTGAATACTTCTTCCTTTTGAAAAAAATAAAAACCAATGCCTATTTGATATTTCGTTCTTTTAACATCATATTAGTTTTTTATTTATAGATATATCAAAATAAAATTTAAAGAATTTTGTTAGAATTAAAATTCAGGTTTGAACTTTTGTAGTTTACATTCGGTTTCTACAAAACCTAATCGATTATTTTGGTTTATTTTAATTTTAATATTTGAATATATTGTTGCGAAAAATCGACAAGTGCACTGATCGTACCAAGTAATAAAAAGTGAGAAGAGTATCGTCTCTACAAAGATTGGGTCGAATATCAATTAATTGTTTTTTTTAAGAATGGAAGAACAAGAGTTGATTTGAAAGTAATAGTGGTTGTAACAATTGTGAACTATTCAATATTTCGTGAACAATTCAAAGAGAAGATTGAAAACTTAAAATCAAAAGTTGAGAATTGAAAAAATATTGTAAAGAAACTATTGCAGTAAAGGACTCCAACACACTTTTGATCCTCACCTTGTAATAATGATTAATATTTATGTTTAATTACCCAATTGATCAAACAATTCACCATATATAATTAATTAGTTAAGTCCTAATCCCATAGTGATCTTAACCTTATTAACCCTATTAGAATCTTAATCCCTTATAAATCTCTTTTTAAGTTAATCTTTTTAAGCCCAGTGAATTTTCCACATTTGCAGTTCATATAGCCTATCCCTAATGCATACATGAAGAGTTATCTTACCCTTTGTCAGGAATTAGAATCCCAATATCCCTATTGCGAACCCTAACCCTCGCAATCCTAATAGAGTCGCGAATTCTAAAAGAATTATGGGATGAAGAACAGAGTAAAATAAATTTAATTGAATAATTAACCATAAACTTAAAATGAGAAAGACTAGCCACAATAAAAAAAGACTAGCCAGACATATTCATGTCTGACAATTTAAATAATGAGAAAGAGTTCATGAAAATGTAAAACCGGAAGAAGAAGTCTTGAATCTTCAGTCACCGAGAGCTTCTTGTCCAATTTCTCCTTGCCAAAAGATGATCCTCTTTTAGAGTTTCTGCTTCCTTTATATAGCCAGCTACTCAATCAGGTCATAATCATTGAATTGATTCTGATTAAATTTCCATTTTTCTCATAATTCCACCAATCAATCAGGTCATAATCCTCTAATTAATTCTGATTAAATTTCAATTTTCCTTATAATTCCATCAATCAATCAGGTCATAATTCTCTCATTAATTTGATTAAATTTCCATTTTCATCAAACTCCACAAATCAAGGAATGCATTCATGACGCCTGCGCGATCAGCGCCAAATCCGTGCGGATCGCACGTACAAACAGAAAGTAATTTGCCAAAATCACGCGGATCGCGCCATTTTCATGCGTTTTGCGCAAGACTATTCAATTTTAACTTCTCTCTTTCACTTCTTTTTAGTGTTTCCTGCTATCAAAATGCATAAATTGAGCAAGAGAATGATTGAGAAGGAATAATCAATATTTCTTGCATTTATGAGCTTATTTTCACACATTTATAATTAATTCTTTGCTTCTTTTACTTAGAAATCACCATATGTTAGACGCATATCATATATCATTTAGGTCTTCTTTTTTTAAATATATTTAGAATATTATTGTCATGATTTTCAATTTTTTGATTGGAAAGAGGAAATTTTATTAAACTAATACTAAGAATATACATGGTAGCTAAAATATAAATAAATTTTTACATAAAATAGCATGAGCGAAAGATTCAATTAGTTAGTTATATTAATTCTCATTAATTTTTTTCAATATACGCATAGTTTGATTTTGAGGACACCTAAGCAAGTTAGTGAGTTATCTTATTGTCATCCTATAAATAATTTATTTATTTTATTATCATGATGAGAGATACCACAAAAGTGACTATAAATGATTTTTTAATACATATTTATTTTAATCCTTAGAAATATAAATTACTCTTTTAAAAATACACATAACATCAAATTACTCTTTTAATATTACATTTTTACAATTGAGAGACAAATGATAATATATATTATAATCGAAGAATCAAATTTGGTACAGTTTATAAATGAAAAACCAATGTTTGGTGTGTTGTATACGTATGGAACACATAATGACTCTTTTTTGTTGGTCGTTTTTATTTACTTTGGTGTAATAGCTTTTTTATTTATTAACACATAATCATTTTTTATAGTTTATTTTTGTCAGGTAACTTGAATTATTTTCTATGTAATATAGTTCAATTTTTTTAACAATAATATAATTTGTTTTTAAAAATAAAATAAAATGAGATTTTGGTTGCACATTTACCTTCGATGAGCTATTCTCATAGTATTTATTATGTTGATCTTCTATTTCTCTTTTGAGAACAAGCTAATGTATAGTAACTAATATCAACATTATTCTTAAACTTATTATTTTGAAATCAAATCCTACTTTATAACCATATTGCTTGCAAAATTGCATAACATTATTTCCATATTTCCCGTAATAAAGTTCCATTTCCTTAAGTTCGCAAGCTTGGCCATCCTCGAGCTATAAATCATAACTCAAGTTGTCAATGACATAGAACAACTGAATCAACATTTGCGGTGTCTGAAACAATTGACATGACAAGTTAGGTAAAAATGGTTAGGGGTGAGCATAGTTAGGGTCGATAAAACAAACAGACTCAATTTTGCGGGTCAACCTGCCCTATCCGCTAAATAGGGCGGGGCAGACTGACTCATTTTTTTATAGATTAATTTGTGAGGAGTGGCTAGTGTACTTTGTCACCTCTAAACATAGTTAACAATCAAATTGATTTTCTAGCTCAACCGAATTGAATTAATATTTTGGATTCAGTTCTTGAATCGAAGTGTTTCGAAACTAGTTTAGATTTGGAAATCAACTTGAAATCAATTTCTAATCATAATCGATTTTACAATTAAGCCGATCATGTGATCTTCCTCTACACAATTGGCCTAGAACCGCCTTGGGTCAGAGCATCTTGCAGTTGGGGCAGCTTTAACCCATGGGTCTTCAATGGAACAAGATGAGGGGTGTACCTGCAAGACACTCCGACGCTTAAGTCAGATTTGGTTCAAGCAGGTTTTATTATGTAGAAGATGTGTACCTTGGGTAAACACATATGTATTTATAGTGGAGAGATGACCAGCTTGGGAGATGTCTTGGTGCTGAAGTATACTTTGAGATGAAGTATTCAGAAAGATGAGGTATTTAATATTGAGGAGCTTGCTGTCATGTAGTCTTTAATATTGTGGAGCTTGATGAGATGAGGTTGCAGCCTTCATTGACTGCAGTCTTTACTTAGTGATGAAGGCTTTTATTTTGGGCATGTATTTACTACTATTCCAGATCAGAAGCCCCCCAGCTCGTTGCTTATGCCGAAGGCATGAGTAGCGAGATGTATAAGTCTGCAAGATGATTTGCCTCTGTGGTGACTAAGCAGCTTCATTTCACTTGCACCTTTATTGTGCACTATGGTCTGTATCTTGTTGGTGCTTAAGAGCTTCATAGTTGTATCCTCTATTTTTATACAATTCATACTTTATATATTTTGCATACCTTTTAACACTGACATCTTCCATGTTCTTGGTTTTGATGCCGCTTAAGTTTGCTTTTAGGTGAAACAGCTGTGGAACTTTGATGCCGCATATTTTGAGCCATGTTTTTACTATCAGTCCAGATCAGTTTCAAAGCCAGTTCAGAACCGAATTATTTTTGAACCTTTATATCTTACAAATTGGTTTTGAAACTATTATTTGTTGGTATATGAAAATGTCTTACAAACTTGTTAAAATCTACTTGTTTTTTTTTTTTTTCAATGCAAGACTATAACTGCATTTTTTATTTTAAACAAATCAAACTCATATTTATTAATAATTTTTGTACTTTACCCCACATTGGTCAAATGCATTTTATGACTTGATATTTAACCAATTGTATTGTTGAATGTTATATATGGTCAAAAACAACAAAGAATTATTTGGAATTGTGCATGTATTGAATGCTAAAGTGAATTGTGAGTGAAAGTAGTATTATATTATAAATTGTTACAAGTTCTGAATTAATTTAGATCCAAACCAGTTCAAGTTCAAGAACTATTTTACAAAATCAAATCTTTTAAAATAGTTTAGTGCGATTTTCAATTCGGTTCTGTTGTTTTGAGTTTTTTTCCACAACCCTAAAAGCAGTATCGGGATTTTGATGTTATAACCGTTCATTCTAAATGTGAGTTGTTATTTCAAAACCTACACAATGGTCAAATGAAAAAGATACATAAACAATTTGTAGCCATATTTTGTAGTCTCGGATAGTTGCTAAAACACTCGGAAAATGGTATAAATTACAATCTTTAATCCAACAACTTAGATGCATTTATTATGCCCACATTCTTTACAAATCTAATTACCTTGATCTACTATATGATGAGAGGTAATACATGCTGAAAAGCAAATCTAGCATCTCAATAAATTTACCCAAGAAGCACTTGCAATGTCAAGCTATTTCCTGCACAAATGAAGATTGAGAACGGGGTAGCTGTCAGCTGATGCAAAAATTAGACAAAGAATATATATGACATTTGGGATCTGCTGCTGTGGATGTTGAAGTTTCTTTTGCCGCTAATTAGGGTGATAATGCTGGAAGCCTGGAACTGCAGTTGCAAAAGTTAGTACTGATTAGGCACCTAGTTTCCTTGAAAATTGGATACAAGGGAAGATTGGGACTTGAATGTGTTGTACTGGTTTAAAAGAGTAGGAGCACTGGGAAAACTTGGACAGTGAAGGATATGCAACAGATATTCGAAAAAGAATTTGAAGGATCCACTGTCCTCATTTGCAGGAGAGCAGAAGCAGTCATTGCTTGGTATAATGGTATATAAAATCTTGGGTTGCAACAATGAGTTTAACCTCAAGTCCATGAGAGTTCAAAGTTTGCATTTATTAATGGACAAATAATGCTCATGTCAACAGTTGGCTACCTCTAATCTGCAGTGGAACCAGCCAGCTATCTTCCCCTCTACTGATACACACATTAAAAGTGAATTCTTATGCTTCAGCTACAGAAAACTTTGATCAGTTTGATGTGATGACTCAAAATCCGTCTTCCCTCATTCTGAGCTTGAGTAAACTCCAGAGTCCAACTACCAATCACAATTTACAAATCTTCAAAATAATTTACAGTCAAATGCTGGAGTCCTAATTTCCCATGAGAATAGTAAATTGATCAAAATTGATAGCCAACATTAGCTCATAATCAGAATACCAACAGACAAATAAAATGAGATCAAGGAGTAACATAAAGTGAGCTGAATAGAATGTTGGCTTCAGAGAAGATGCTCTGCATTTCACCCTATCAACCCCAGAAGAAGGTCTTACTCCCCCTGACACTTTCTTTTGCAAAATAATTAATCAATATTGACCAAGTGATAGCATTAGGTATGAACCCGTTATCGACACCTTTATATAAAAGCAGACATGCATCATTAAATAAACCCTCGTAGCAGTACCTACTGATCAGTGTGTTATATGTAACAGCATCAGGACGAATTCCTTCAGCTTGTAACCTGTTAAAAAGGTTCAAAGCCTCCTGAACATGACCAATCTTGCAAAGACCATTGATCAGGCAATTATAAGTGACTATATCTGGTGTCAAACCACGATGAATCATATCCCGAAGAAATTGAAGAGCATCATTTACTTTTCCAATTTTACATAAGGCATTGATCAGAATATTGCAAGAGTAAATACTAGGAAAAATCCCTTTCCCAAGCATTTCTTCGAACAATCCCAGTCCTTTCTCTACTGCCCCAGTTTTACAGAGAGCCTTAATAAGGCCATCATATGTAATATTGTCAAGGGGACACCCTCTAAATAGCATCTCATCAACTAGCTTATACGCTTGTTGAATTGAATCTTTCCTAAGAAATGCATGAATCAAAGTGTTGTAAGTTACAGTGTTGGCAATAACGCCCTCCAAGAACATGTCATGATACAAACCCAAGGCCTCTTCCATCTTATTATTCTTGCACAGTCCATATATTAAAGAATTAAATGTATAGATGTCAGGTTTACATCCTTTGCTTGGCATTTCACCAAATATTTGTAAAGCTTCTTGAATCTTCCCATCTTTGCAAAGGGCACAAATCAAGCAATTGTAACCCACTGTATTCAGACTGAGACCCTTGGCTGACATGCTATTCACAACTTCAGCAGCTTCCTCTAATCGGCCTTGCTTGCAGAAACCATTTATCAATATGGTGTATGTGATCACATTAGGCTCAAAGCCCTTTGTTACCATCTCATATAAGAATTCGAGAGCAGAGACCAAATACCCCTTCTTGCAAAGTCCATCGATCATTATGTTAAATGTGAAGGCATCAGGCTTATAGCCTGCAACAACCATGTTATTGTACAAAAGATCCTTGGCTTCTTCAAACCGTTCACTAGCAACATAACCATTAATTAATGTATTATAGAGCACAGTATTTGGATTGGGAATTTTGTTTAGCAAGGCCCTTGCCTCATCAACTTGCCCCATCTTGCACAACCCATGCATTATATATCCATAAGTTAGATCATCAGCGCTGAAACCTCGAAGGAGCATTCGATCAAGCAACTTTGCTGCCTCATGAATCCGACCGGCCCTGCAGAGGCCATGGATAACATCATTAAAGGTCTGAACATCAGGCTTGCAACCCATCAGAAACATTTCCTCCAAAAGTTTCATTGCTTCATTCACCCTGTTGTTTTCCGAAAGGGTATGAATCAAGGTTTGGTAAATGACCGAATTCGGAACACACCCATGCTTTGTCATGTCCCTTAGAAGTGAGCAAGCTGAATCAACCTCATTTATCATACACAAAGCTTTCATGACCATCCCAAATGTATACACAGTTGGAGAAACACCCCTACTCAACATGTCATAGTAAACATTAGGCGCTACAGAGGGACAATTTCCACCAACCAAAATTTCTAACACAACATTATAGGATTTAAAAGTGGGGTGACAAGAATAAACACCCCACATATCCAACAAAAGCCTTGTTGCTTGGCCAGGCAAACCAGCTTTCCCATAATATTTCATAATCAAAAGAAACAATGATTCTTTAAACACAAATCCTTCTTCTTTCATTTGCTTCAACAACTTGTCAATAATTTTGAATTCCCCAACAGCACCAAGCTTATCAATTAAAACATAGTACACATGAAAGGAGTGAGAATAACCCTTTTGGGAACCAGCCTTTTCAAAAAGCTCCATTGAAATGGGAATGTCAAGAGGGAGCTCCAGCAATTTACAAAGCTGAGATGGGCTAATTGGGTTAAGTGACCTTTGAAGCTGTTTGAGGTCAAAAGGGGTGAGTAATCTCTCCCACTCTGTGTCACTCTCAGCATTGAAATCATTTCCATGTGCGGTTGTTGAGCATAGTGAAAAAGAAGGGATTTTGAAACAAACTAGCATAATTCTACTCACATGGATTGAGGATTTGAATGTTTTCAACATCAAGACAAGAGATTCAAGTCAAGAAACTAACCCCAATGGAGCCACCACGATGTGGGTCGTGATAATCGGCACAATAGAGAGATGCTGCAAAACACGCCTGCGTTTGTGTAATTTCTACACGAGGGAGATGTTTGTGAAGGAAGGTTTCGTTTAAAATATAAAAATAAAATAATAAAGTATTAAATATCGAAAATAATAACAAGTAAAAATAAATATAAATTATTAAATATGAAAAATTATAACCATATAAAATAGAAATAAATATAAAGTATTAAATACGAAGAATCATAACCATATAAATATAGAAATAAATATAACCGTTGGATCAATATAATCAATTTAATGATGAAAGTTTTTGGTAGTAATCATAATTGATTGTTACAATATCATACCTCTTAAAATATTATTTTTATGGAAAAATTGTTCTAAAGAAAAATAAAAGTGAGTGTGATAAGGGCTTATCAACAGAAGAAGAGGAGAAGAACGTTTATGGGAGAACAGAGGAAGAAAACGGACATCAAACAACAACAGAGGAAGCACCACGTCGAAGGGGGAGTAGGATCAGGGTGCCAGCTAAGTGGGCAAAGGACTATCTGGTCGAGACACGTGGCCCTTAGGTGTCGGTAAGCGGAAGAGAGCACATGGGTGCGACAAGGAGAGCACATGGGTGCTGAAGATTACAATTGGGCCAACGGGCCTGAAACCTTTTGAGTCTAATTTTCTTTCTTTCTTGTAAATGGGCCAGTAGCCTGAAGCCCATCACTTTCATTCTGTTTCAGTATATTAGGAAAGAGAGGTGTGAGAGGGGATTATCTGATATTTGTAACAAACTTGTCTTCTTCTTGAACCTTCATTTCTGGAGTAATCAGCAAACTCGAATTGCTGAGCTATAATATCGCTACTTGAATTTTCCATTTCTTGTGAATCAATAGCTTAAGGCTATCATTTTGGTGCTTTCATTGAGAGGCAACTTATGAAATTGTAATGGCAGAAGGAACTCGCAGCTCTGTTAAACACACAGCAATGGACGAATGTCTGACTCGGTTAGCACATCATGATGATCAGTTCAACTCGTTGAGCAATCTGCTGAGGGAGATGAACCTGAAGTTAACTATGGTGGAAGCAAAATTAGATCAAACCCAGAAAAGTAAAGGGAAAACATAAGGTGTATCGCACGGAGGATTGGGTGATCTATTTGGAACAAATGCATTCAAATCAGTGAAACTTACCATACCACGCTTTGCTGGCAGCAACCCCGAGCCATGGATCCACAAAATCCAGCAGTTCTATGGGTTTCATAATCTCACTGATGTAGAGAAATTCACTCTGACTTCGTTCCACATGGATGGACCAGCGGAGGAATGGTACCATTGGATGGATCGCAATGGCAGATTACGCACGTGGGAGCAATTTTTGGTAGAACTCCGCGCCAGATTTGGGCCTTCCCGCTACCGTGATCTGAGAGGAGAGCTTGGGCGACTAGCTCAGGTGGCTACGGTGACGGAGTATCAAACGCAGTTTGAGCAATTAGCAAACCAGGTAATTGGGATTGATGACATCAGTCTTCAAAGTTTTTTTGAGTCAGGTCTTAAACTTGAAATACGTAAAGAAGTCCGTTTACACTTACCTGCATCGTTAGAACAGGCCATTGATTTAGCCAAGTTAATAGAAGATAAAATAAATGACAAAAGTACCGTGAGGTCCTACTATAACAGAAACACAGTGGGATCTACTAGTGTTAACCAACCTGGACTTTTACCAGCCCCACCACGGTCGACTACTTCGGGCATGATGCCAAAAAAAGAGAACATTCCCATCAAAAGACTGTCCTCTGCAGAAATGGCAGATAGGAGGGAGAAAGGGTTGTGCTTCTATTGTGATGAGAAATACAACAGGAATCATATATGCAAGGGGAAGATGTTTATTTTGATAGTGCAGAACGAAAGGGATGACTGCATAGAATCCAATGGGAATGAACTGGAACTGGAACACGAAGTCAGTAATGAAAAAATTGGGGGTGATGACAACTCCATGCCGGAGATTAGCCTGCATGCCATGGCTGGTCAACACTCAACAAGTACCCTGCGGGTCAAGGGGAGGATCAACAAGACAGTGGCTCAAATTTTGGTGGATGGGGGTTCAACTCATAATTTTATACAGGAACGCTTGGTGAATTTTCTGGGATTGGAAACTAAACCCACACAGAAATTCCAGGTACTGGTGGGGAATGGGGAGGTAATGAACTGCTTGGGGGTATGCTCACATGTGCCACTCGACATACAGGGCCATGTTTTTTATCCATATTTGTATGTATTACCAATTCAAGGGGCTGAAGTCGTTCTTGGTGTGCAATGGCTATCTGAATGGGGGGATGTTACCATCAACTATAAACAGCTGCTGATGAAGTTTGAGAGGGATGGTTAGTTGATAGAAATACAAGGAGAGTCTAATATAGCTGTGGAGGCTATCCAATTAAATCAATTACGCAGGCTGACTTCTTCACACTCGGTTGCATACCTCTATCAGTTACAAGCTATTGAGCAATATATAGAGCATCCACCTCAGGGAACCGAGAAGTTAGACATCCAAGTGCAACAGCTTCTGCATGACTTTGCAAATATTTTTGAGAAGCCCTTGCATCTACCACCCTTTCGAGAAGAAGATCATCGTATACACCTTGCACCTACAACCACAGCAATTAATGTCAGACCATACAGATACCCACATTTTCAGAAATCAGAAATAGAGAAAATGGTAAAGGAGATGTTAGAAACAGGGGTGATCCGCCACAGCCTTAGTCCGTTCTCATCCCCAGTGTTGCTGGTCAAGAAGAAGGATGGGACCTGGAGATTTTGTGTAGACTATAGGGCTCTTAACCAAGTAACCATAGCAAATCGGTTTCCAATTCCAACAGTGGACGGGATGCTTGATGAACTTGCAGGGGCCACTGTGTTCTCCAAAATAGACTTAAGGTTTGGATACCATCAAATCCGTATGGCTGAACCAGACATCTACAAAACCGCCTTTCGCACTCACAAAGGTCACTATGAGTTTGTGGTTATGCCCTTCGGCCTCACCAACGCACCAGCCACTTTCCAGGGAATCATGAACTCAGTCCTTAAACCCTTCTTGCGAAAATTTATAATTGTTTTTTTTTATGATATTTTAGTGTATAGCAGGACCCTAGAGGATCACTTGGAGCATCTCCGGAGGGTGCTACAATGTTTACAGGACAATCAGCTCTATGCCAAAAGAGAGAAATGTTCCTTTGCCCAATCTGAAGTGGAATATTTGGGACATGTGGTGGGAGAAAATGGAGTACGTCCGGATACTAACAAAATTCAAGCCATCAGGGACTGGAAAACACCCATGACAGTGAAACAACTAAGGGGCTTTTTGGGATTGGCTGGGTATTATAGGAAGTTTGTCAAATGGTTTTCTCAACTGGCAGCCCCTCTCACCAACCTTCTTCAGAAAGATGGATTCCAGTGGAATGATGCTGCTTCCCAGGCCATGGACCAACTGAAAGAGGTGTTGTCCAACCCTCCAGTTCTGGCCTTACCGAATTTCAGTGAGCCCTTTGTGCTGACGACTGATGCATCGGGAATTGGTATTGGAGCTGTGCTTAGTCAAAATAACCAACCCATTGCCTATTTCAGCCGGAAACTATCACCCAAAATGCAGCAATCATCAACTTATGTTAGAGAACTGTTTGCCATCACTTAGAGTGTTGCAAAGTTTCGCCAGTATCTGTTAGGCAGCAAGTTCACCATCCGGACGGATCAACACAGCATCCGAGAGTTGATGGCCCAGGTAATTCAGACACCAGAGCAACAACGTTTCCTTGTCAAGTTGTTGGGCTTTGATTATACCATCGAGTATTTCCCAGGAGCTGTCAACAAAGTGGCCGACGCATTGTCCAGGGTGCATGAGGGTGAGAAGAAGGATATTTCTGAGCAAACTGTACTATTTACGTTGTCCACATTAGTTAACCCTCTGCTGGATTCCATAAAAGCCGAAGTTAACAGTAAGTCAGAATTAATAAAATTAAAGAAAGCCATAGAAGAACAAACCGAAGGGTACGAGCATTACTCTCTCAAAGATGACTTGCTCTTTTACAAAGGGAGAATCGTTTTATCCAGCACCTCCGATCTACGCGCTGCCTTGCTTCATGCATTCCACTCCACAGTTATAGGAGGACATGGAGGTAACCGTAAGACCCTGCATAGGCTTTCCACCCATTACTATTGGGTTAATATGAAACATGATGTTCAGGAGTTTGTTCGAACTTGCCCTGTGTGCCAAGTCACGAAGTACCAGCCCTTATCCCCAGCGTGCCTACTGCAGCCTCTAGCCATTCCTCAAGCGGTGTGGGAGGACCTCTCGATGTATTTCATAGTTGGGTTACCTCCATCAGAGGGAAAGACGGCCATCATGGTTGTTGTCGACAGGCTTTCTAAGTATTCTCACTTCTCAGCTTTACCGAGCAATTTTACCGCTACAAAGGTGGCAACCGTGTTTGTTGCAGACATCTGCAAACATCATGGCGTCCCTAAATCGGTTGTCTCAGATAGAGACCGTATCTTCATCAGCAAATTCTGGCAAGAATTATCTAGTCTAAGTGGAACCCGCCTTCACTTCAGTACAGCCAATCATCCTGAGAGTGATGGTCAAACAGAGGTCACCAACAGGGGATTAGAACAATATTTACGCTGCTATACAATGGACAATCCACAGAGCTGGGTTCAGTACCTACCATGGGCTGAGTTCTCCTATAACTCTTCCTACCAGTCAGCCATCGGAGCAACTCCCTTCCAGATCCTCTACGGACGTTTACCCCCAGCGTTGCAACCCTATGATGGAGAGGCTTCACCCATTGAAGCTGTGGATGCCCTGTTAACAAAAAAGGATGCTGTCATCAGAAATCTCCGCGAAACATTACATCGCACACAACAGAGAATGAAAACCCAAGCGGACAAGCACCGCCGCGACATCCACTT